AAGTGGCGCCTGGGTAAGTTTTCCTCTTCTTTTTTTTTTTTTTTTTGGAAACATGAATTTAAATAAATTACATAATAAATTGTTAACCCCGACCTCCATGCTCTCTAGACAACAACGCTAACGGTGCAGTGACTTTTCAATTTTCAATAGAAAGTTGAAAGCGTTACAACCTCTGTTGCTGTAACTCCTGCACAAGTGATATGAATGAGTCTTTTACATCCGTCACATTTGAAAGTGGTTCTATAATCAAGAGCTTCTTTTTTACACCCGAGGCATCTATTATAGGAACTCATAGTCGAATGACTTGAATGAAAAAACGATGGTGAATAACTAGGAGATACTTTGAAACGTATAGTTTCCTCAGATCAGCTTCCACGTTCGAAATGGACAGATAAAAGGTTATTTCTTATTTCTTCCAAGCGGCATAGAAAGTGGACAGTTGATAGGCAGGAGAGGTGTACTTTCTCTGCCTAGGCAGAAAAAGTTTGTTGCTATTCAACGTTCCAAGTAATTTGAATGAAAGTGGTAATGAAAATTGACACTGACATTATGGGTGAACACACAATGATGGAGTTTGAGAGAAATACACAAAATTGTTTTTTCTGCAATCGACACAAAAGTCATCCATTTCAACATCAAAATCAGCTCTTGAATTGACGTCTCTATCACTGACACAAACATTGATATGTTGCTAGGTAGCACTCTCAGTTCCGGAATTAACGTTAAACTTCAGGTCCTAGGAGCTAAAAAGGATGTACTAGGTCATCAAGAATAAACAACATCATTATGATGGGTTATTTGAGTTGGGACGCATATACCTGATTTGCTCCTGATTTCGGCAGATTTGGTATTTCATACCCATGCTGGAGATAACATATTATAGTTAAGTATTTTTGTTTCGATCAGGAATGCCTTCAAGATTCACATACTTGCTTGATCTGTATTCCATCAATTCTCTGAATGATTGGATAACTTGTTCTTGAATAATCACGGCCAGCAATACTTGTTTGTCTCACAAAACGATAATGTCTACCTTCTTTTGATTACCGAGCCAAAAGGCAGGTAGAATATTCTCACCACACGGATTATTCGTTGCATTGCATGCTTATGGTACGGCATCCACGTTTCGGATGCAGTATTGAATTCGTGCCTGTAGTATCTGATAATTCATGTCAACACAAATTGTAACAGAGTAATTGCATCGTCCACCAATATTCTAATGTAAAGTAGTCTGAGGTCTTGCTTCTATCTACTTACCTATATTATTATAATAAGGGTATAATAATGATTGTCAAGTAAGTCACATTGGTGGTTACTTCACATATTTATTTTAGTAAATTCTTCCAGATGCAGAAAAAGTAGCATGTTTCATTCGGATCAAAAGTGACTTTATTTGACTCGCAAATTTTGCTTTTGCTCATCTTCGCTAGACGCACCGCCTCGCAAATGCAAAATTCGCTACTATTTATAACATTTGGTGAAGATAATATTTGTTTCAGACGGCAACAAATGTCGATTCACTGCCTTGGCTGAACTGCTACTTTCCTGCCTAGTAAATCAAAAATCTCAAGCACAACGAACGAACGAAAATGATCTCATTTCGAAAATGCCCAATGATTGAAATATGAGATCAAATATTTGATAGCAAGAAATATAAGATTCTCGCAAGCACAATTAGATAGAAAATATGCGAAATCGTGGAAAATCGATTTCTGATCACATTTTGCAATATCGAGAATTATCATTTAAGAATGTTCAGGTTCTTACATGAATTTTTATCGAATTCAGAGCACATTATTAGTAAAAAACCCATAGTTTCAATAATGACGCCGAAGTTTATTGAATATCAGTTCCATACTTGGAGGAAACTTTGGCTGTAATCAGTTTTGAGCACGTATACGGAGATCGAACTTTCCAAAGTTCGCAAGTATACAGCTTGTGTTTAATCGATTCCAATCTTGTTAGAAGTAGGCCATTCAATATGATTTTTTCGCGGGGGTTTTCTTAGTATCAGTAGACACCTTCATTATACAGGGTGTTTCTGAAATTGAGACGATGAACGGAATGGTATGATAGAAAACAAAAAACCAAAAACGAAATAAAAGTGAACCTTTTTGTCGAAAATATATTATTTTGACAGATATTGAACTTCAAATTTCACCTGAAACTCATGTGGATCATTGATCAGAGGTTGATAAACGATGTACCATTATGTTCCATACAACAACCCATTTTGATTATCATTCCATTTCGGAAACAGCCCCATGTGATATCGTGATGATGACAGAAATAAATACTACCCTATATACAACAGTACATTTCAAGAATCAATTCTCAGTTTTTGGTTCAAGCTTTTTTGTGCAGAATTAATGATGTCATTATTTATGCAATATCAGGACCTTTACATAATTTCAATTCATCATTCATCAATTCTCACAATGCCATGATTTTTATTCTATTTTCATCGTGAAAATTTTTATTCAGTGCATGTATATTTCGATGGGCTTGTATATCAGTGAGGAAATGAGATATAACAAGATTTGTCGCTTCCTCTTAAGAATTTGTTAATATTTCTGTCAAGTTTGAGTGTCATGTTGGGTTAAGGGAACACGAAACAGCCAAATTTATCGCAGAAACGTCAGCTTTCGTACTGAGAAACAGAGATAAGAAAATAAATTAATTTAAATGTCACATTCGCCCTGACGGACTAAATATTAATCGTCTGCAATATTTCAGGGTTTGATCTCTGGACATATGAAAGGTCATTTTTTGAAATATGTATGATGAATTTTCAGATATATGACAAATTGATATTCATCATACAGGACGTAGAAAGAAATTCTGAATTGAAATAACCTAATCACGATTCTGCGATTGAAGGTCTATAAAAATCACAAGTTCCCATCATTCAAGTTTGAACCCCTTGATTGGGTGAAGATATTGAAAAGGAATATTCTCAGATAAAATTATGAACATGGAACAATAGATATACATAGAGAAATACAACGAGAATTCGCATATATAGCCAGATGGTCATCAAGGATCAATGTTGAAAATATATAAGTACAGTTGGCATTTCGTATCGAGGTAGAAAATACCCAAAATGAAAAACCCAGGCACTTCGGATGATATTCAATACAGGATTAAGAAAAGGTTCAGTGTATAAAACCTAATATGGTTCAGGCAAATTGATCAAATATACGAATATATAAGAACGCAATATATTTTCATGGACGATGCTCTTCTGAAATTTCAACAATTGTTCCTTCCTTGGCAATACCCGCGAGATTAACTCATCTAGTTGAGGCTTCGTACACCTTGTGGTCACTTTGGAGACCTGCAGAACATCTCTTTCATTCAACGGACAGCGAGGCTCTGAAACACATTGCCAAGGGAGGTGTTTCCCGAGGCATATGACCTCCAGAAATTTGAGAAGAACACCAATTCCTACCTTATTTCCCTTGGTTCTCACGATGTTCTCTGAACCTTACAGGATATCCCTTTTCATGGGAACCAGAACATAAAAAATATATATACAAAATTGGGAAAATTCTCCACAATGGTAAAAAAAGAGGTTCAATGCATGTTATATATTCCGGAGAATAACAGCGAATGTACTCTTCGATTATAGTAACACACATTGATGAATTATCGTAATTATTAATTGACTAGCATTGAGAAGACAGCTAGGCTGTCCCCGATTCAATTTAATTTTCAATGGGAGTTATTCAATTTTCAATAACCGTTATTCGATTTTTCCAGTGTATTATTGTTTCTCTGAAATTTCAGGGTCTGCTGACCGAAGCCTTATATGTGCGGCTGGCTTCTGTCTGTTAACATTGTGAATTTGATATTTCGTTTTATACTAAGTGCGGCCTATCCTTAGCGCTTCCTTCACAGTACTGACGAGGGCCAAAAGCACGAAACACGTATCTACGGTTAACTATATGTAAGGGCTATATCCATCATTTTCTCCCTAGTTGTTTATATGTGTTCGTTTAAGTAGTAATTATAGTTAAGTATCTCACATTCAAGGTGAGAAAATTGATTCTTGAATCACTTATCATCATCTCAAAAGTTCAAATGAATAGGTATACTCACCTATAACAATTTTCCCTTCAATCTCCAAACTGAGTATTCTTCACATGATCCCGGAAACTTTCAAATAAGAACGGAAAAGTTTTTTCGAATTAATGGAAATTGATTCATCGAACGATTCCATAATATACACGAATTCATTTTTTTCAGGTGCTGCGATGAATAATGGTCGCTTCAAAACACACTAATGACTGCTAGTGTTGCCTTACTAACCCCTAACAGTATAAAATGACTTCAAGTTGAATTTATGTCTAAACATGTGATTCAGAAGATGACATGGCCTATGGCCGGTTTTATGAGGCCATAAGTACTGAAAATCTATCCACACGTAAGCATTACTGAACCATCGTTCATAATACGAAATTCCATCGAGTACCCTGGTGAAAACAGTTCGATTCAGAAAATCCTACCAAAATTTCAGACCTTACTACCTTGAGAAAGTGCAGTGATCATGACATCGATTCACTTCTGAACTTTCTTGTGCCTTAGATACTAATTCGATGAAGTCAGTATTTGATTTTGGCATAGCATAATGGTCATTATAATGATAATAAAAATTATGAATGCATGTATTGACCAGTTAATGTTATTTCATTCATATAATGATCACTCCAACAAATTCCTCACGTTCTGTTTTATCAGAATTGATACTCCGCAATATATCAACAGATCCATCAATTTCAAGATAACGTGTTTTCAACTACCAGTCTAGCAGAAGCCAATAGAATTCGTTACTGAATACATAAGAATAGGAATCTGATAACTTTTCACAAGGGATACTCTGAAATGTAATCATAGTATCTCTAAATCTATGATTGCTTACTGATGATTCGATATGAATGATGGTAAAGGTTGTAGATACCGCTCCCTATTGAGCTAAGCCAAGTAACAATCACTCAACGATGAGATACACCAACGGGCAACACCCAGCAGCTAGCATGGTAGCGTCCTACGGAGTCTACAACGATTCCGATTACCGTGAAACCAGCTACAGCGACCCCTACCGGACAGATCGGGATCGCGAAGAGGACGGATTCATACCACGTTCGAATCAGTGCCGCGGAGTAGTGGTGAACGCTTCCGGGGACAGCAGTGTAGTGCGTCCATCGCGACTGCAGCAGTCGCCACAGCATGCAGCCAGCAACTCCAGGTGCGGATGGTGCCTGACCAAGGATGCCACAGCACAGCCTTCATCCAGCAGCGCTTCCTGCTGGATTTCCTGGTGCAGGCCCACTATCCTGCTGCTGGTGCTGGTACTACTGGTGGTGGTGTTTGTCCTAGTCTCCGGCATACTACTCTATCACAATTGTACGTTTGCCAAATCGTTGTAGCATGCTATGTAGAAATCGTTCATCGTCTCTTGGTTTAAGTAGTTGTCTCCTGAATATACTGCCCCTGATTCGTGTGGGAAGGGGTGATACATTCTGTGAGTAAATGTGTACTTATAAAGATTTCATCTTCTTGTATACACTCGCAATCATCCAATTCCTCTCAACCAAGCTTCTGAAGGCGTCCATTCAATCAGTGATGTCCTGTTCAAATTCCTGTCAGTATGAAATTAATTCTACCTCAGCTCATGTATATCAATTCTTCCGGTTGTATCTCCCAAGTGTGTATGAGCTTGACTCCAGGTGGCCGATTTCTATCAACATTCTTCTTCCTCTGAACTTCCTTATGTGGCACTTATGCAGATCTCACAGAATTGATCAGACCTAAGTGCTTTGATAGCCGAAAGCACTGTAGAGCCAAGGACTCTACAGCACAGCCCACGTCCAGCAGCGCATCCTGTTGGATTTCCTGGTGCAGGTCCACTATCCTGCTGCTGGTGCTGATACTCCTGGTGGTGGTGTTTGTCCTAGTCTCCGGCATACTACTCTATCACAATTGTACGTTTGCCAAATCGTTGTAGCAGGCTATGTAGAAATCGTTCATCGTCTCGCGGTGTAATTAGTTGTCTCCTGAATATACTGTCCCTGATTCGTGTAGGGAGGTGTTACACATTCTGTGAGTGAATGTGTACTCATAGAGGTTTCATCTTCTCATATACACTTGCAATCATCCTATTCCTCTGAACCAAGCTTCTGAAGGCGTCCGTTCAATCAGTGTATGTATATCTATATCAATTCTTCCGGATGTATCTTCTAAATGTGTATGAGCTTGACTCGAGATGGCCGATTTATATCAACCTGGTAATAGGGGATCATTTTGGTTGTATCTTCTGAGAGAGAATGAGCTCATCTCCAGATGATCTGTATCTAACTTCTCATTTCCTTGAATTTACTGATGTGGAACTTGTGCAGATATCACATATTTGTTTACTTCCTGAAGAAGAGCTCATTGCCTAGCAAATTTGTTTGCTAATAATGATCTGAAAACATACTTTTTCTATAATTATGCCAATCTGAAAAAATCCTGGACTTGCTAGTTTTCTCGAGGTGATCAGACATACGTACTTGACCGATGTTCGTCTAGGTGTGAGAAACCATTTTGTATTTTTCGTACATCGAACAAGCTCTACTACCATTTGACCATAAGGTGAAATAGTCTGAGCGAATTGTCGAATCATTATAAAATGTGTTGAAGAAATCGTTTACGAGGCCCTCTTGATCCCTTCTAATTTGCATTCATTCAGGGATTTGGGACAGCAGCTTTCAGCCCTGGCATTGTTAACAAAATACACATCCAGTATCTGAGCTTTCGTGTTTGCATGTTTGTTTTTTCGCTACAACCATACACTTAGTTGTTGCTTTTGTAACCATTGCTGCCTTTAATTTTCATAAGCATTGTGCACCTGTTACTGTAAGCAGCTACGTATTAGTGTTGACAAAGGGATACAAAGAATGAAAATAATGAATATTAGGAGTTGGAATTAGACGGGGAAGGAAACTTATTACTCCGTGAATATAATATATCGATTTTGCTGTTGCCTGCTAATGGATGGTGTTACAGCGACTAATGAAAAATACTGCAGTGAAAATAAAAATAGACGAAATGCATTGATTTATCATTATACTGAAACCGATGTTGGTATTAGGCCTTTATATGTCTTCAGGAGAATACAAAGGCGCCTTTGGATATGAAACTGATGGTGATAAAAAGAAAAGAAAGAACGTCAGATGAGATGCATCAAGACTCTTGAATTAAAATTAATGGAGTAATGAAGCCTAGTGAAATTCACACAATTTTAATCTGACGTGACAACTATAGAGTTGAAAATATATGTGGCATTTTATTTCCATCATCTCCATGTTTACATATACACCACTTGACTTGAGACATCCAAAATCTGATGAATTTTTCAGATTTTCTGATATATTGTTAGGGTATCTACCAGCAGTGTAAAACCAAGTGTGCAGCTTTGAAAGACCTGTGCTAAATTTGTGGTTTTCGAAGAACTTCGGATTTTATACCACTGATTTGGTTCTAGCCAGAAACTCTTGAAAAGGAGCTTCTCACCTAAAATGTGAATATATTCCTATTTGAAGCTGTGAAAATATCCTACAATCTGAGTGCAATATATGTAGTGAGAAGTCACTTCTTTGGTTGGGGGTAGACGACTTAGATAAGTTGGGTTGGCAGTTCTACCGAATGAATCGTATCGGGAGGTTGGTGGTCATTTTCGGGTGAATTTTTCCAGATTTTCAATATGCCAAATAAAAATTTTCATTCTCCCACCTAAGACTTCCATACGATATAGTCACCGAGCCATCTTCGGACGGCCGAAAGTGTCAGAAAACGGCAGGAATCCACGCGAATTTTCGTCTTTCCATTTGATAATGACCTGCTGAATCGAATGTGACCATGATCATCCCCGTTGGACAGATAGTTTTTGAGATATCGGCGCTCAACGTCTGCTTTTCGCTTTTTTTGCCAATAAGAGCACTCCGGTAGACTACTACGTCTCCATTTTTCGAAATTTCCTGATTTCCACCACAGATTCGTGCAATTGGATATCGGATTAGTCTATGTGAATTTTTTCAGATTTTTAATAAGCCGAATAAAAATTTTCATTTTCCCACCTAAGATTTCCATACGATATAGTCACCGAGTCATCTTCGGACGGCCGAAAGTGCCAGAAAACAGCAGAAATATGCGAATTTTTGTTCTTTCAGTAGAAAATGACCTGCTGAATCGGATGAAATCATAATCAGCCCCGTAGGACATGAAGTTTTTGGGATATCAGCGCTCAAAGTCAGCTTTTCGCTTTTTTTGCCTATAGGAGCACTCCGGTAGACTACTACGTCTCAATTTTTCAGAATTTCCCGATTTCCACCACAGATTCGTTCATTTCGATATCGAATTAGTCTATGTGAATTTCTTCAGATTTTTAATAGGCCAAATAAAAATTTTCATTTTCCCACCTAAGACTTCCATACGATATAGTCACCTAGCCATCTTCGGACGGCCGAAAGTGTCAGTAAACGACAGAAATTCACGAGAATTATTGCTTTCCTAGTAGAAAATGACCTAGTGAATCGAATGAGACTATGATCAACCCCCTAGGACAGATAGTTTTTGAGATATCGGCGCTCCAAGTCAGCTTTTCGCTTTTTTTGCCAATAGGAGCACTCCGGTAGACCACTACGTCTCCATTTCCCAAAATTTTTCGATTTCCACCACAGATTCGTCCATTTCGATATCGAATTAGTCTATGTGGATTTTTCCAGATTTTAAATAGGCCAAATAAAAGTTTTCATTTTCCCATCCTCCATACAGGGACACCAGTTTTTTTTTCAGCTGACTCAATTTATTCGTGGATGGAGACAGGCAGCAGGAAGGAGTCACCGAGCCATCTTCGGACGGCCGAAATTGCCAGAAAACAGCAGAAATATTTTTTATTTCTTCAGTAGAAAATGACCTGCTGAATCGAATGGAACCATAATCAGCCCCGTAGGACATATAGTTTTTAGGATATCAGCGCTCAAAGTCAGTTTTTCGCTTTTTTTGCCTATAGGAGCACTCCGGTAGACTACTACGTCTCAATTTTTCAGAATTTCCCGATTTCCACCACAGATTCGTTCATTTCGTTATCGAATCAGTCTACGTGAATTTTTTCAGATTTTTAATAGGCCGAATAAAAATTTTCATTTTCCCACCTAAGACTTCCATACGATATAGTCACCGAGCCATCTTCGGACGGCCGAAAGTGCCAGAAAACGGCAAAAATTCACGCGAATTTTCGCCTTTTCAGTAGAAAATGACCTGCTGCATCGAATGAGACCATGATCAGCCCCGTAGGACAGATAGTTTTTGAGATATCGGCGCTCCAAGTAGCATTTTGCTTTTGTGCCAATAGGAGCACTCCGGTAGACTACTACGTCTCCATTTCCAGAATTTCCGAATTTCCACCACTGATGCGTCCATTGAGATATCGAATATTGAGATATCGGCGCTCAAAGTCACATTTTCGCTTTTTTGCCAATAGGAGCACTCCGGTAGACTACTACGTTTCCATTTTTCAAAATTTCCTGATTTTCACCACAGATTCGTTCATTTCAATATCGAATTAATCTATGTGAATTTTTCCAGATTTTTAATTGGCCAAATAAGAATTTGTATTTTCCCACCTAAGACTTCCATACGATATAGTCACCGAGCCATCTTCGGACGGCCGAAAGTGCCAGAAAACGGCAGAAATACGCGAATTTTCGCTCTTCCAGTGGAGAATGACCTGCTGAATCGAATGAGAACATAATCAGCCTCGTAGGACAGATAGTTTTCGAGATATCGGCGCTTAAAGTCAGCTTTTCGCTTTTTTTGCCTATAGGAATAACCCACTGTCAACGTTGGAGCCCGAAACATTCAGAAGAACTAGTAGATCTACATCCTACATTCGATGATAACAACCATTTCATATGATGTTCCGAGGATGTTCTCTTTCCAGGGCTGTCTGCACACTCAAGCAGTTTGCATCCTCTGCTACTTGTTTGTGAATTCCTTGATTGTAAATTGGTATATTTCTACTTCGAAGTTGAGTACCGATTCCTCAGAAATCGAAACTTGTGCGGTATTTGGTGGAAAATCCCAGGTGCCGCTGGTTTCTTTCACCGGAGAAGAACTCCTGTTGAAGCACATTGATGAGATGAATATCCGTGGCAACTGACTGTTGTATTCACACAGGCTCCGATCTTTTCCTCTCCCGATTCCACCATCTTTCGTCTTTCTCAGATAACGAGATATCTGTTCAGCCTACAGACTCCGTTCTGGGCTTAAATTACAGCTAAATAACGAAAACTGGAATTATTATGAATTTATGGAAAAATTTTGAGGTTCTGTGTCTTTGGACCCATTGGACCTGAGAAATTAGGGTTTGGCTCAAATCGTTCGCAATTTTTACAGCTTCAGAATATAAGTACTCTTTCAGGAGTTTCGGACAAAAACAAATCAGTGGATTAAAATCCGAGGTTTTTCGAGAGGAATTAGCACAGGTGAACCGAAGCTTCAAACTTAGTGTCACATTACTGGTAGTTACCTATCCTAAAGAAAAACCAAAGAATCACGAATATGTTAATTTATCGGATTTGTGTCCTTTTTTCTTTTGGTCTACCGACTGTGGTCTAATGATACATGTTACTAGATTCATTCAAATAACAGATTTTTTATTGGACTATTGGGATTTAGAATGTTGTGTTTTGTGAATTAACATTTATCCTCTTACTTACATTTCCCAACTCTAAACAATTTTCGTTTTCTTTGCCAACAATTTCTTCCTGGAATTATTCAAACGTTATCTCTCAAAAATAAATATATTTCGAAAAAAAAAGAACAGATTCCTAGAAAAGGTTTTTTTTGCTTCGTCGATTTCTGGAAGGTTGGAATCGGTAAACACTGCCATTGTGAAGTTGTGAATGACAAACGAGGTGAAAGTGTACTTACTCTACACCATTCGTCTAGAACGTCTCCATCTGAAGCGAGTCTGAAAACTCCACTTACTCAATACATTCCCT